TTTCACGGGCCTTGAATCAATACCCAATCATGGGCCAGTCATGTTTCAAACGGGGTTTTGGCTGGGCGACTGCGGTTGCCCTCTTTGGTCTCGCCATCGTGACCAACGCCAGTCTATCAGGGGATGGCAGCACTGGCCCACCTAAGGCGATAAGACCCGGGGCTACCTTTAGCGAAATAATTTTCCAGCCTGTCTTGGACTTCGACAAGGACGGATGTTACAACGTACCAGCCATTGACGTGAACGGCAATATCGACAAAGGCCTGAACGAGGCGGCGTCCAACTGGGCGAAAGACTGCCGCGACGCCAGCGACTTGGACAACAGCCAAGTGTACAGTCGCGGACGTTGCAACCACGGTTGGTGTGTTATTATCTTTGATTACTATTTCGAGAAGGATGGCGCCATTACCGGCCATAGATACGACTGGGAGCACATTGCTGTCTGGATCACCAACTACAAGCCTGCATATGTATCGGTGAGCCAGCACGGCAAATGGCTTACGAAGATTGCGGCCGATGTGCGCTTTGAAGGCCTCTCTCCGAAGATTGTCTACCACAAAGACGGAGCTGGAACGCACAACTTCCGATTTGCCACTGCTGGGGATGAGCCGCCGGAGAACCATCGCGGCAAGTGGATCAAGGGCTCCCTGCTCAGTTACGGCGGCTGGCCGAACAACGGTCTCCGAGACAAACTTATGAACTGGGGATCTTTCAAGCCAGCGAACATCGCTATCAAAGACGGAAGCTTCCAAACATCCATTATGAACACGAAGCCACAGCACATCACTTTCGATCCGAACGTCCATGACCCCAGTATCCTGCACCTGTGGACTGGCTAAAGCTTGTTGCGTCACGGACAGTGAACTGTCTCAGACCGCAGTTTGATGATTATATTATTTTCGAAAGACAAGGCGGGATATCTTCAACAGAGAGTTCCACTAGGTGCAGAAACCATTGGTTCAACACCAAAGAATGCAGTAGATAGCAGCCAGAGGGCGTTTTAGATAGATGGACATTGATGTCCATGGCTTCAGACAAGAGATGGCCCATCAGGATCAATTGACAATTCATTGGCCTCGTTTATTTGTACTTTTGAGAATTGTGCCGATGTAGTCGTGCTCAAGCTCACCAGCAGCAGTGGGAGTCGGCGTTGGCCTGGCGACAGGAGTGGCGATCGCGGGGGCGTCAGCAACTCGCTCGCAGTTAATAGTTCAGAAAGCCAATCCATCATATTAGTGGGAGCAGAGGTAGTGGGAGCAGTCGACTGTGTCGTCGAGGGTAATTGGGCATACTGCGGTTTGTAGTAGCGGTGACAGTAACAAGAGATAAAGACCACCTATAGCCACCTTGCCTGCTTTTCTGGAAATTGACATGCAGCGAAACTCGCTCCAGAAGGGTGCATCGCGCTTGTACTTGAAGGCTGGGCACCATGAAAAGAACTCATCTGGGGGCTTCATGATTGCAGCCTTGTTAGTTTTCTGCAGAGGGGCTCGTCATCGTGAGCTGGCGCCTGAAGATGCAACGAGGCTTCGACAGTGTGCGAACCTGCATGCTTCTCCGTGAAGTCTTGGTGCTTTGCGGGTCTCCTCTAGCACCTCAACGTCCAGGAAATGCAAATGACACCAACGCAGGAAGAGAACTGCTGCTTGCTGGCTGTCATCCGTATCAGGGGTGTGTTGACATCCGAGCCGCCATCCGTCCCTGATGCGAAAAGGAAAAACAGGCCTAGGGCACCATGATCCCAGCAGGCCCGCGCTCTGAAGTGTTGACGCCCTTCGCCTCTGGGCTTCGCTGACGGGCGGCGACAGTCGTGGCCAAGACGTCCTGCGACGGCCCACGGAAGCAGGGTGGTTACTTCCAGCCTGAGAACTTTCTCCTCGCTAACCCTTGACTAGTTACACAAATACCACTACTACGTAGTACGCGGCAGGTAGACAAATACTCATGGGAGACCAGGCCTACCTATCCGGAATGGCACCGCAAATGAAGTATTCCCGTCTTGTGTGTGTGTTTGTGTACTCCTCAACCATGAGCTGCCTCCAAGCCTCTCGGTGCGTAAATGGAAAGGTTAGCGAGTATCCCATTTAGGCAACCTGTAGCCGTCTTCATGTAACGCGCAAAGCGCGCCACAACATGGGTTCTCCTCTCTTGCCTGTCGTCCCTATCAAACAGTGTCACAATGGTTGTCGTCATGCAGTTTGGTCTCACCTGCATCAACGGAGAGTGTTTACACTGATGCAGCCGCCCTCCCTCTTCGTCCTCAGTCCTGTGTCAGACTCTCCGCTGGATAGAATGGGCAAATTTGGACACGACGACAGTTCAACCTAAGGCGGGTTATCATAACGAAGTCCGGTCAAACCCAACCGTCACAACAAATGTCAGGGACTCAGAAAAAAAGAAGCTATGATAATTAAGAGTAGGAGATCGACTGATTTATGTACTCTGTTCATTGTTTTGTATCATAGCGTTTGCTAATTTATGTTTTCACAATGGACACATCCTAAACTTCGTGCTGCAGCGGATGAAAACGGGTCGAGCGCATCGCGTGAGCCGCATCATCCCGCCTCGGTCAATGTACGCCCCGATGCATCAAGCCTTGACTGGCTGCCAACTGTTGTTGGATTGCACACGCGAGCAGGGCCCGTTTGCCATCATCTGCTACGTAGTATCCGTACTACTGACCCTCAATCCCGAAGGCCAGCGGAGTCAGTGCGACCTCGCTCAAGCTCTAAGCGAAGCTCGTCAGACCTTTGTAGCGACCTCTGCATGTTGAGATACTTCAACACGCCAAATGATCTCACGCTGAATAGTCCCAGGCCCCAGGGTCTTCCTATTACAGCCATGCACAGCAAGAAAGCCCAATCGGAGGCAGAGAATCCTAACGGCCCCTCCCAAACGCCCATCGACGAGACAAGGGTCAGGTTCAGCGCCCATCGAAAAGCTATATTAATAGCATAAGACCCAAGAAAATCTGAAATCATCAACCTAAAAAAAGCATCTCTCTTCAGCAGCGTATCGCATTACCACAACGCTCTCACTGGCTTGACCCGGCCATCCGACCTAATGACAGATCTAGTCATCGACCAGCCCATAATTGGACTCCGACATTTCCAAAAGCTCATCTCCGCATCCACCAATGGAGGCTTGACCTACTCTTACTATCAGACGCGCACAGATCCTGACATGCCCGCCCCGGCAACAAGAGCTGCTTAGGCTCGATGGGAGTCCGCCCAGTCTAGCGTGCGTTGGTCTGCGAAAAAACCGAGCGGGACTGGTTGGGTTAGTCGACCCAGATACCACAGCTACTTATATACGACAAGCTTTCAAGCAGCCTCCAGATCGTCTGCACCGAACTGTAGCAGCTAACTACAACTCCGCTACCTAACTATATACTATCAGTGCCTACTACGAAAGTCAGGTCTTTCTTTTGGCAAGCGAGACCGGTTCAGGCAAGTCGACCCAGCTACCACAGTTGGTTATATAATATACAACGAGTTTTCAAGCGGCCTCCAGACCGTCTGCACCAAGCCGCAACCACGCCGGCGGAGCTTTCCAAGGAGATTGGAGTTGTCTTGGACGAGGAGGCTACTGGATGAAATCCACTGGCTACCAGAACTTCCGTATGTCAACCTTCAGTGCAATAATCACACGGCCACTAACCAGCTTCTACTAGAAGTCTAGAATTGAAAACTCGACAAGAACCGCTGCAATGGATTCCATCGTACGCAACCAAGCTACCATGGCCCAGATCCGGTGTCTTGAAGACGCCGAGCTCAATCCGTTGACAAAGAAGGCGTGGCCAAAGAGTCACAACACCATTCTGCAAAGCCGCCGAAAGTTGCCGGTCTACGGGGGGTTCGGGGAGATCCTTGATGCCTACCATAAGGGTCAGGCTTTTGTGTTGTTGAGTGAGACCGGGTCGGGCAAGTCGACCCAGGTCCCACAGATGCTCCTGTACGATGAGGGTCGTCTGCACCCAACCGCGCCGGCCAGCCGCAACCCCACTGGCCAGACGTGTTTTCAAGGAGATGGGAGTTGTCTTGGGCGAGGAGGTTGGCTACCAGATTGGTGGCGATAGAAAAATCGACCAGAACAACAAGAAGCGCGGGTCAGTTTCATGATGGAAGGTGTTCTCGTTGGGCACCATGCCAGTGACAACAAGCTGTCCGATTATGCATGTGTCATCATCGACGAAGCGCATGAGCGGACTGTCGAGACGGATCTGTTGATGTCGATGCTGAAGAGGACCCTACGCAAACGCAAGGATTTCAAGGTATGATGATGCCCTTACTCTATTTCACCCGCCGCCTGGCCTAGCTAACTCGGATTGTCGCAGGTGGTTATCATGTCAGCCACCACTGACGCGAAGTTGTTCCAGAACTACTTCGCGGGCCAAGGCCCTGTACTTCGTGGTTCAACATCCCTGGACTTCGATTTAATTATGCCTACAACATTCGCTACTTGGATAAGGCATAGCTAAATTATGAAACATATCTAACTAAATTATGAAATATATCTAGCTAAATGAGGCAAATAGTCTACTCAATTAGCGCTGAAGATTGATGATTTATGCCCTAATATCACGTAAAGATGAGGGTAAATTGATTATGCGTAGTGTGTGGTGTTTTCTCGCACTGGAGTGTGCCTAATGTATGATGTGTAACTGACCGCCAACTGCGTGGGTGCCAGTTGCTACCCGGCACCCACGCAGGTGGCAGCGAGGTACTGAAGGTGGTGGAGGTTGTAGGTCCGAGTCTAGCTGGGTCAATCGCGCTGATAACTTCCTTTCGCTCCTGTTTCATCTCCTGCATTTGTCTTCGATGTTGAATTGGAGCTATCACGTGTCGTTCACGTGTTGTCCACGTACTTTTCGCCGTCCGCACGTGAAAGTTTTAGCTTAATCGCCCAACCTTCCGAATCAAGTGTCCCAGGCCTTGGCGGACAAAAAGGTGAAGCCATCATCATCAATAATTCATCAACAATTCAAAAATAAGAGAACACGACCCAGCTAGGACTCGAACCTAGAACCTTTACCACCGGAAAGTAACGCGCTGCCATTGCGCCACAAGGCCTTGCTTTTGATTGGAGTGAAGCTCACGTATTGCGGGATATACGTCGTGGGCAAATTGAAGGGTGGTGTGGTGGGATGCGCGGGAGTGGAGTTCAGTCCCACATGGGAGGGGTACCCTAGGGTTCACAACTTTAGTGAGTCTGGCTTGTATTGCTCCTCACAGTGGCTTGGCTTGACATGGATTAGAATTTTATTTATATTTGTTGCAGAGCCGTGTTGTCATCTCGTTGTGATCCCGAATTAAAGTGGGGACGCTCCGCGCTGCCTCCGGGGCCACCTCACGTAAACGCGAAGGGACCGACTAAGTGCTCGCCACTTGTTAATCGGTCTCTACGGGTAATGCGTATTTTTATCCCATCATTCTCGAACAAACACGGGCATCGTTTCCAGCGGACATTCCACCTCCACCGTGTTTCCTCCCTCATACTCATCATCGCCTTTAAATACCTTCCATTTCCCACTGTTAGGTAGCGCCGGCAAGTACACCTTCATCTTCCTCGCGCCGGGCTCCAGCACGGGACAGCACAGATACTTGTGACCGTACATGTACTGCTGCTCGATATCCCATGCTGCAGTGTCCTTGGGGAACTCATAGAATAGCGTTCGGATCACAGGAGACCCCTTCTCGTGCGCCTCCTTCATCAGACCCCGGGTGTACTCTCGCAGCTCCTCCCGGATGGCCATGTACTTGCTGCAAATCTTATATACCTCTTCGCCATACGACCAGACCTCATTAGGCGCTCCGCTGAGGCATCCAGCGCCACCAGTCGTGCCGTGTTGCGGCTGCTGCGGGAGGCGGTCCCCGTGCAGGCGCATCACCGGGCAAAAGGCTCCCCACTGGAACCAGCGAACGAGAAGCTCGTGGAAAGCCTTATCCCGAATGTCGCCGCCGTGGAATCCTCCAATATCCGTCGTCCACCAGGGAATCCCAGCGAGGCCCATGCCGAGGCCCGCAGCAAGCTGCGAGCGCAGGCTGGGCCATGAGCTGGCCACATCACCACTCCAAACCAGAGCGCCAAACTTTTGGCTGCCGGCCCAAGCGCATCTCAGCAGATTGACAATGTTGGTCTGGCCTTCGCGGGTCTGACCCTCGTAAAAGCCGCGCGCGTACTCGCGTGGGTAAATGTTGCCGACGGCAACATTGGGGCCCAAGTGGTAGCGGTAAGTGTCGAAGTCGTAAACGCGGTACTCGGGCTCGGCCTCGTCGAGCCAGAACACTTTGATACCCTTGTCGAAGTAGTTCTTCTTTATCTTTTCCCAGACGTACTCTCTGGATCCTGGATGGGTTGTGTCGTAGTGGATCGTGTCTCCTTGGAAGTCAAGGCCGGTGCGAACGCCGCGGTCGGCGCGGATGAGATATCCTCGCTCCAGCATTTCTTTGTAGTTTTCGGAGAGTTTATCGACTGTAGGCCAGATGGAGACCATGAGTTCGATGCCTAGATCTTTGAGCTCTTGGATCATGGCGTCTGACGTGCACGGTTAGTTACTGTGTCGGGCAGCTCCTTCAAACAAGCATACCTGGATCCGGCCAGTAGACTGGATCGAATCGCCAGTCGCCCTGCTTGGGCCAGTGGAAGAAGTCGACGACGATGAGATCAATAGACAGCTCACGCCTCTTATACTCTCGCGCCACTTCGAGAAGCTCTTCTTGTGTCTGGTACCGCAGCTTGCATTGCCAGAATCCTAGGCCGTACTCTGGCATCATGGGCACTTTACCGGTCACGTCGGCGTAGGCCTCGACAATCTCAGCAGGGGTGTCTCCAGCCACGATCCAGTAATCGAGGGCCTTTGTCGAGAGAGCCTCGAAGCTCATGACATTCTTGCCAAAGACTGCGTTGCCGATGGCGGGGTTGTTCCACAGGAAGCCGTAGCCGCGCGAGGACACTGCAAAGGGCACGCTGGCCTGCGAGTTGCGCTGGGCGAGTTCGAGCTGCGTGCCCTTGATGTCGAGGTAGGGCTGCTGGTACTGACCGAAACCGAATATCTTTTCTTTGGGGTCCAGGCTCTCGAACCTCGCCGTCAGGTGGTAGTCGCCGCCCATGATGGGCTTAAACTCGCGAGCTTCGATGTTGAGCGAGCTGCATTTGGGGTCCGAGAGGTCGTTTAAATTGCGCGAGTACTCCTCAATCAGAATTTCGCCTTCCGAGTTGAAGACGGTCAGCTTGCCGCCAGAAGTGACGGTGGCCTTGATGTTTCCATGGACGATTGACGCAGAAGTCTTCTCAATGGAAATCTCCGGTTTCGTCGAAGTCGAAGTTTGCTCTTCTAGAGCCCAGTCCTCAGAGGGCATAGAGCTCATCTTCGTTGCCCGGACGCGCAGGCCCTTGCCCCACGGCTCAACCCAGAACTGTTCAGCATCGTAGGCAAAGACGAGGCGATTTTCCTTTTCGAAAAGCATGTCTAAATAATCTCACTCTGTCGTTGTATCCCGAGGACTTGAGGAGAAGATATGAGGCGACTGAAGCTCTTTAAAGCACTCTCCGTGTAGGATCGGGATTCAGGGCCGTCTTTCCGTCCCCCGCAACTCCACCGATGCGGCACCTGATTGTCAATGGCCAGCGGCAGTCATCCTGAGGGGTTCTGAGTATGAGTAGAGCTTTGTGATAGGGGCATCTGGGAGGAATCCACGGTGTTACCTGTACCCCACCGGAGCTCTCCACCGGAGCTCTCCACCGGACAGCGACAATCTCAATCGCGAGCGCTCCCTGAATCGCCGCCCACCGGGACGTAGATGCGGAGGATGAGCTTGAGTTTCATTCTCACGATAGGCGAGCCGAGCCACACCCCAGAGAAACACCTGTCGCTCACCTTTCGGATCGGCGCATCTTTTTCCGAGTCATCACCCCACAGCCGAAGCCGGAGCGGATCCGAAGCTTGACCACCATTATCTCACCAGCGATGCCGCACCGACCGCCCTGGCCGGACATGATGTGGATCCTTGAGCCGACATTCATCATGGCGCCCTGCAGCGCTTGCTGCAGAGATCAAGGGCCCGCAGTCTCGCTCGCTCTTCTGATTGCAGTCGGCTTTTTTCGCCGAAGCTCAGCCGATCGAGTTAACGTCGCGCATTCATCTTCCCAGACCCAACAGCTGATTGAACAGTTTGAACTACCTACCCGTTAGCAGTGTTGGGGGCAAGCAAGCTTGCCGGGTAGCGCCGGCCCCAGCCGTACTGTCTAGACCGTGTGCCAATACTCAGAATCACAGCATTTTGGCGTTGCATTGCACTGATCGTTTCATTCATGGAATGAATTTTTGGATGCATTTACGCTTGCTCATTCCTCTTGAGGTAGATCACGAAGCGTTCCCATGTGGACAAAGGATTTCAAGGAGGCATCACTTCCTAGTATGGCCTGTTACTAATCAACTGTCCCTGGTGAGACAACCAAGCCGAGATCCGGACACATAGGTAGGTCATGCACATCTCAATACTCGAATAAAGTCGACAGTGAGACGATATTTTGTCGGTTTATTTGAGTGGTTGCAGCGTTTTACTTGTTATTGTTTTCGCTGTTGCCCCAGACAGCTAACAAATTGCAAGTCACAAAGAGTAGAGGAACCTGTGCACAATGCATGGCTCCCAGTGTCTCTGAAAGAGGATTTGAACAGCCTAAGCTCTGGCTAAACCTCTCCTAGTTTATCATACTGCACTGACTCGTTTGGAACATGAATGCCACTAATTCATTGTCTGAAGTCTCCCCCTGTGGTCAAAAGGTACGCCAGACAGGTGAAAACGTTCCCACCGGAGCCAACCAATTCTAAGATCAACAAATCGTAGAATTTTGAGGCCGTTCTATTGGATCATGGTGTGAGTCATTCCACTGGTTGTGCCGGTAGACCCAGCCAACCTCACAACACGGCCGAGCAGTTGGCAGTTGGCAGCTGGCTGGCAACAGATGGCAGAGGCACATGGCTGCCTACTTGATAATTTCTCTCGCCGGTCACTTTGCAAATTCTTCCTTCCTCTTCACAATATCCACTTTGTGCAATCCATCACTGCTACCCAAAAGCCCACGATCTCGCACCAGACCCCATCTCCACCACAAACAACATCACCAAACACCTTCACGATAATCACATCAGCGCCATCACAAGTAAGTTCGACTCAAAGAGATTCGCTCTGGACCGAAGTATAGCACCCTGGTGACACGTAGCGGCTAACGTGTCAAGCAGAATGGCCCCCTACAACGAGCAGTTCGAGAGCCAGCTCACCATGTACCGAAAGAAGCGGCGACTACTGCGGTACTCACCACCGCTCAGAACCTCGTCTCGCTACAGGGTCTCAACGCGCTCACAGGACGCAGCTGGACTTGGCGCGGGACTTTCGACGAGCCCTCGATGCAGTCGGCTGCTCCCACCACCGCACCTTCCACTCCCACAGCTCTCACCACCGCTGCACCTATCGACACCATGGATCTGGCTTTCCGAACCATCACCCGCAGGCCAGTTGATGACGCTCCCGCCACCACCACTCCCGTCACAGGGTGGAGGGGCGGCCACTCGAGTGTCGGCTGCTGGCGTGTCATCGCCCCCTTCATCATTAATATTGACGACGATAAGGATGGCAGCCAGTAGGCAACAGTGTTCACTCCAACGATAGAACCAAACCTCTCCACACACACACACACACGCGCGCGCGCGCGCACCGCCAGAACAGCAGACTTCGATGGTAGATAGGCAGAATTCCCGCCCTTCTATGATCTCTGGATGCACACAGACGAAAGTATACTTTACTAAAGGTGATGGGGGAAACCCACTTAATCCTTTCTTCTTTGTGGGCCGACGCCCGGTTATGCCAGGTTTGGTCCCCTCTGGGGAGTGAGTTCAACTCTCGCCCTGTACCTACTGTGTTAGGGACTGAGGGTCCCCGGGCGGAAAAATTGGTCAATCTCGGTAGTCAGAAAAGAATGATATTAAATGGGACTGTCAGGCCCGTCAAAGGGCCAGACATCACCTTTTCTTTCTCTTGACTTTTGCCTCGCTATGCGTTTAAGCACGAAT